GATATTTAAATGTTTCTTATATTGTGAATAAAAAAAAATTGACAACAGACACAGCCACTAAGTTGATAATTGGAAAACTGAAAAGCCAAAGCCACCTGGTAATGCTACTTTTCATATTAAAAAAAAAAACTTGAAAAGTCACGATGTATCATGTCATGTATCCCAAGCTCGCTTCTTCAGTAGGATAATTTATTCTTTATTGCTGTAAAGAGTGTACATTGCATGTGGAGATTGTGTGATTATTTTTCTTAAACAGATGTTGTAAAAGGTTTCAGCTAACTACTCTCAAAAGAGTACTTGAGGAATAGTCATATAGGAAAGAAGAAATTAGAGCTGTGCTTCCAGAGTTCATTATTCTTGACAGGAGCCAGAAGTGAACCTGCAAAACCAGAAGCCCAAAGATCTGTCATGTTGTAGGCACTGTTTAGAAAGGCAGTAATTTTTGCTTCTTCAATTTGATTTTTATGGAGGATTTTAGTTTTTTTGCTTCCTGCTTAAACTCTTTGTGCTTTCACATCAATGTCCAAGTGGAAACCAGTAAGAAGTGGTGTCCCTCAAGGGTCCGTGCTGGGACCAGTGCTATTTATTATCTTTATCAATGACAGGTAGTGGGATCGAGTGCACCAAGCTGAGTGGTGCAGTTGATTTACCAGCAGCCTCACCACTGCAGTGGTTAAATGCAAGGAATCACAGAAAAATTGAGGCTGGAAGATGTCTCTATAGACCATTTCATACAGCATCTCTGCTCAAAGCAGCATCAAGTAGACCTAGTTGCTCAGGATATTGTCCAGTCTCAGGGTGGAATATCTCCAAGCATGGAGACTTCTCAACCACTCTGAACAGCTCGTTGCAGTGTTTAGCCACCCTCGCTGTAAAACAGTGGGTTTTTTAATGTTTAAATGGAATTACCTGTATTTCAATTTGCTCCTGTCGTCTCTTGTCTGTTCACTGGATACCACCAAGAACTGGTGATTGAGTTTGGCCCCATGTTTTTTTACTCCCTCCAACAGGTATTAATAAACATGGATAAGATCCCCCTGAGCTTTCTCTTCTCCGGAACGAACAGTCCCAGCTCTCTGAGCGCTCCATCAAAGATGTTTCAGTCCCCTCATCATCTTCACAGCCATTCACTGGACTGGCTTCAGTCTGTACTTGTCTCTCTTGTTCTGGGGAGCATGGTACTGGGCACACATTCCCAGATGTGGTCTCACTAGGGCTGAGTAGAGGGGAATAATCACCTCCATCAGTGTGCTGGCAACACTCTTCCTAATGCAACCCAGTATGCTATTGGTCTCCTTTGCTGCACATTAGTGCTCGCTGTGAACTTTGTGTCCACCAGAACCCCCAGGGATTTCTCTGCCAAGCCGCTTTCCAGCTGGTCAGCCCCCAGACTGTACAGGTGCATGGGGTTATTCTTCCCCAGGTGCAGGACTTGGCATTTCCCTGCACTGAACTTCATAGGGTTCCTGTTGTTCCATTTCTCCAGCTTGCTGAGGTCCCTCTGAATGGCAGCACACCCATCTGTTCTGTCAGTCCCTCCTACCATCTACAGACTTGCTGAGGATGATCTCTGTCCCATCATCTAGGTTATTCAAGAACACATTAGACAGCATTTCCCCAACATCAACCCCTGAGCATGCCACTGGTGACTAGCCTCCCGATGAGTTTTACGCCACAATTATGGGAGAGACTGTCAAAAGCCTTACTAAATTCAGATAAACTACACCCAATGCTCTCCCCTCATCCACCCAATCAGTCATCTCATTTTGGAAGGGTATCAGTTTGTCCACATACAATTTTCACTTCATAAATCCATACTTGCTCCTACTTGCCTTCTTGTCTTTCACATGTCTGGAACAGCTTTCTAGGATTAGTTGCTCAATCCCCTTCCCAGAGATCGAGGTCAGGCTGATCAGCCTGCGGTTCCTCAGATCCTCCTTCCACCCCTTCCTGAAGGTACAGGTGATACTTGCTTTCTTCCAGTCCTCAGCAACCTCCCACAAAGAGGCTGTTCAGGGGGACAGTGTCAAAAGCCTTGTTAAAGTAAATAAAAACAACAACCAATGCTCTTCCCTTATCCACCCAGCTAGTTGTCTCATCATAGAAAGCTACCACGTTGGTTAAGCATGATTTCCCTTGGTAGGTCTGTGCTGACTACTCCCACTCCTTAATATGTTTAAAAATGGTTTCCAGGATTAGTTGCTCAATCCCCTTCCCAGAGATCAAGGTCAGGCTGATCAGCCTGCGGTTCCTCAGATCCTCCTTCCACCCCTTCCTGAAGGTACAGGTGATACTTGCTTTCTTCCAGTCCTCAGCAACCTCCCACAAACCACCATGACCTTTCCGAGATAATTGCGAGTGGTCTTGCAACACCATCAGCCAGCTCCCTCAGCACCCGCGGGAGCATTGCAACAGACCCATGGACTTGTTGCACGTCCAGTTTGTTTAAATGTTCCCTAGCCTAATCCTCCCCCACTGAGGGTAAGTTTTCCTTGCCCTGCACTTTCCCACTGGTCTCAGGAGCCTTAGGATTGCTGATGGCTGGTCTTACCAGTAACGACCAAGGCAAAGGCGGGAATCAGTGCCTCAGCCTTCTCCACGTCCTTTAAGACCAGGTCCCCATTGCCATTCATCAGCAGGCCCACATTTTCTCTAGTCCTCCTTTTGCTGATGATGTACCTCTAGAAACCTTCCTTGTTGCCCTTCATGTCCCTTGCCAGATTCAGCTCCACATGGGCTTTAGCTTTCCTGAGCCCATCCCTGCTTGTTTGGACAGCGTCTCTATATTCCTCCCACCTCACCCAACTCTGCTTCTGCCTCTTGTGCGCATGCTTTTAATGGTAGAGTTAAGTCAGGAGCTCCTTGTTCATCCATGTGTGCTTCCTGCAACCTTGCTTTTAAAACAGTCACTTAGATAAGAGAAAAACTTTGTCATACAGTGGACAGTACCCGACTGAGTCTTAACTCATCCTTGTGAAAGATGAACCTGAAATCCTTAACTCTTCACCCTTCCAGAGATTTCTGTGCAACAACCTGTGCTCCATGGTTTGAGAATGTATTTGAAAGGGCTGTAGTGAAATGAAACACAGCAAAGGCTTGTAGTCCTTCATTTGCTGTACCTTCTTTCTTTTTCTGTTGTTCCTGTATTTTCTCCTGTTGCCTGTACAGTTGACCAGGTACTTTAAGAACTTGGTTCGGAAGGATGCTCTCAGAACTGGCAGTGCTTTGGGAGCTGTTCTGAAGGTGATGGCACTCTGTCTTGGTTTTCAAGTTGTTGAACCAGCCAATAATAAATGCAGTCTTTCCTAAGCTGTTCCCCATGCTGTGGACAGTCATGTACAGGCACTTCAGAGAGGTGCCTGTTTCCAGAGAGGCGTGTGAGAGCTTCCTCATACTCCTGGCTAACAGGCATTTCCCTGTTTACATGGATGCACGTGGATTAGACAAGGCATACCTGAGTTTCATGTGGCTATAGGAGGCTAGCAGAGCATCACTGAAGTGTCCTTGCAAGCCAGTTACTCGCTGCAGTCTTTCCTTATCATCTGTCACTACAGCATTGAGATCCCAATGATGCCCATTTCTGCCTGGGATTCTATCTTGCTTTTTTTCAGCCATCAGTTAGGGATGGTTTGGTTTTTTGCTCCTCTATTTGAGAGCAAAAGATTTTCAGTACTTTCTGCTGTACTACAAAGTATTTCCAAGCTGTACGAGAAAGATAGAAGTAGACTCCAACATGTGATGTGTCTCTCCTTTACAATGTGCATTAACAGACTGCATGATTAACTAGTTGTGTGGACATTACAGCTGGTGTACATGGCTTTCAGTTAATATTTCTAACATTTCAAGTCTGCAAGTGGGAGCTTCTAGTGATTGTATTACTTTATGATGAATGCAGGCACACAGATTTGTTATGAGATCAGAGTCTGTAACATTGTGCTATGCAAAGAGTGACTTTTGTTAACAGTTCAGTCCAGCACTGCAATAAAAAGGGCAAATTCTGTCTGTGGGGAATAGTCATGTCTGTCATAAAGCATATGCTCTCTTCGAAGTACATGAAAGAACCTGCAAAACTGAATAGCTCATCGGGTCTCTTCATAAAGATGTGATGAGGAGAGGACACAAGGACTGTCTCGTTGGAATCTCCATTTTGGCCTGGATTGGTTAACTTGGTACCTTTCCATAGGCAGTAAGGACATACATCTTGGACTGATTCATTTGTTCTTAAAACCTCTCAAAACCTGCCTGTTCTATGAGAATGTGTTTACACTTTGCTATTGCTCTTAAAATAGTCACTTTTAAGTAAGAGAGAAACTTTGTCATACAGTGGATGGTACCAGACTACGTCTTAACCCATCTTTGTGAAAGGTGAACCTGAAATCCTTAACTCTTCACCCTTCCAGAGATTTCTGTGCAACAACTTGTGCTCCATGGTTTAAGCATGGATTTGATATGGCTTTAGTGAAAGAAAACACAGCAAAAGCTTGTAGTTCTTCATTTGCTGTACCTTCTTTCTTCTAGTTTTTCTGTTGTTCCTGTATTTTCTCTTGTTGTTTGTACAGTTGACCAGGTACTTTAAGGACTTTCTTTGGAAGGATGCTTTCAGAACTGGCAGTGCTTTGGGAGCTTTTGTGATGGTGATGGCACTCTTGTCTTCATTTTCATGTTGTTGAACTGGTCAATAATAAATGCAATCTTGAATGGTGAGGATGAAGAAGTGATAACATAAGCAGTGTAGTTATATATAAACAGTTATATGAAAAGCCAGGATAAAACTATGATTACTTGAAATACTCTCCCTGCTTTCCTCTGTGAATGTACCCCTGTTTTAAATGAACAATGACAAAACAAAAATGAAAAGATTCAGCCTCAAAGCTTGTGATGAAGAAACAGTTCAGTGGGTTAAAAGCAGGTTTTTAATAGTTCCGTTATACACTTCCTATTCAGGTAGCTTTATGATTTGAGGGGTGTGTTATTGAAATACAATAATTGTTTTCATTCAGGTAAACAAACATTAAAGATATTTGATGGGAATGATGCAGTGAAACGCAATCAATTTCGACTGATTTCAATTCCAAGGATTGCAAAAAATGAAGAAGTTGTGGTAAGATACCTGGTGAAGATCAATATTCCAGTGTGATAGAGGCATATGATTGTATATTACAATAGTCAAAAGCTAACAGTTTTACAAATGTAACTCAACAACAACAAAATCTGTAAATGGGCTATAATATTATATAATGTAATTTGACTTCTTCATTCAGATGCTCTTATTTTAGAGCACCTGAAGAAGTGGTGGTGGCCTACGTATCTACAGCATAATGGGGGCCATAGCATATCACATGTAGTAGTCATTCTCCTTCCTTGTGTGACGCTGAAGTCTGATTTTACTGATGTGAGCAATACTGGCTAATCAGCTCCTTAGATCTTGCTCCTCTTCTATAGTATTTAGTGGTTTGATGTTGTCCTGGCCAGCCACCACTGTTGCGCTTCAATTAATCAACTTTGAAGACTGAAGCATGTCATAGTTATCTCCACTCCTTGGCTGTGAAAGTAATGAGTTATCGATGACATAGTGGCCACTCCGTAGCTTTTCCAGTGCTCCATATGGGGTGGAAACATGACTCAGTACTAAATCAAATGTTCTGTAAAGATCTTAATTTACTGAGCTGGGCAGAGACCCCATGCTGTGCAGAAATGAAGCCCAGAAAGGGTATGGGGTGGTGGACAGTAGAACTGGGCATGGTGAGGACTCAAAGTCATAAAGGACTTGGCACAGGAGTCTGGAGAATTTATTACATGAGAATTTTGACAATTTAAACCTACAGCTCATTAAGATTTTTATCTTAATATTGTGCTCAAAATCAACAGGAGTTTTGAAAATGGTTTGTAGTGTTCTGCATGTCAAAGATCTTCAAGGAAAATTGTGTACAGTGCTGAAAACGCTTTTATTTAGGAGTGCTACTTGCCTTTGAAGCACATTTTATCAGGCTGCTGCTTATAATACCAGGGCAGATTAATACCAGTTCTCATAATTGACTTACTGGGCTGTATTCACTGCAGTGTCTGTGTTAGCAGAGGTGCTGCAGGCATGGGTCAGTAATGGATGTAAAATTCCTGTGACTGCTTTTATCTTCCAAGGACAGCCCTTACCTTTCCTATGCACAGGTGTGTGGGTTCAGGGCAGCCTTGCGGCTGAGAACCTCACTAATTTTCAGCATCCCTTTAGTGCAAGAAGATTGAATATGCAGAGTTGGGCACAATCAAGTGTAATTTACCATTTTCCTTGTGGAGTAAATTTTCCATGCAGTGAGTGTAGCTTTATTGGTGCTGAATTTTTACATTTGATCTATGGAATTAAAATTACTATCACTTGACAAAAATACTGTGGGCTGTGTTCAAATCCATTGATATCTCAAGTTTTCTTTTTGTATCTTCCACTAAAATTTGTTTTCAAAACTTTGCTCTTGTTTTGGTTTTTGCCATTGCTATTTATCCACTGTTCTGTGCTTAAAACATGCGTTAAAGGTTGGTTCCATAAGTAAGGTATTTATAAATGTCTATGTCTATACAAGTATTAACGGTGTCTTTTCAAGAAAATGTTAATTTATCTTGTTGTGTTGTAGGAGGCTGCTTTGAGGGCATACTACATAAATGATGACCAGCAGGAGTATGAGCTTCAGACCTTTACGCAGCAGGCGCTGCTGTCCGATGATGTTATCAACAGGAACGATGCTGTGGAGGACAGCAACTTGGGCTCGGTATTCCGAGAATCTGTTCCTGAAGCTTGGATCATCAGAGCCAAACCAAAGGACGAGGAAGTGATCAGAATTTATCCTGCCTGGCTGAAGTGAGTGTTTTCCTCCTTTATCACAAGGTTATCCTGCTTGGCTACATTTGTCCTCTGTAGTCTAGCCCGCTGTGGTTCAGTTATTGAAGTCGCACAAGTATAACAGAGAATGTAGTTTCTTCTGTATTTCAGGATTCTTCTGTTTATTTCTCTGAATGAGTAATATACATATTATTCATTTCCATGCGTGGAAACATGCACATGGGTTTCTTTACATGCACGGAACATGCTGTGCAACTTGTGCAGTTCTATTATCGTGTGTTTGGCCAAGAAGATGCAACTTTACATTAACTGCATCTGTAAACAAATAATGACATACACATGTCACTTGAAAGCCTGATGTTTTTTTGGGAGGCATACTAAGTAGGAAGAATTCCATATAACTGCTGATGTGAGAATAGGAGGAAAAAATAAAGATTAAAAAAAAAACCTGTTCCATTTAACGCTGAGCCACTATACCTTTTAAGCATACTTAGCAGTGGAAGCAAGACTGGCTGGTGACCTGTTCATTTGTTAAGAGCAGTGGGATAAAATTTAAACATTTGTTTATTTTACTCATGCAGCTACATTGCCAGATTTTGTGAAAGACTTGCAGGTAATTCTGTGTGTAGGAAGAAACTAATTTGCAGTGCTACAATTGTAATGACCCATTCCTTGAGATGAAAGTCTTCGCTTGTCTGTGGGGCTAATACTGCATCTGCCGTGAGCCTCAGTGAACAACTTTCTTCAACTAATAGAAATATCAGCCTACCCCCATAGAAAATTTGCCACTTTAGGTGAAAAAAGGACACATAGGATAGGTCAAATGATTGGCCTAAAATAAGTATTTCTTTTCTCTTTAGAGTGGGAATGGCATATGTTTCTCTACGAGTAAATAAGGATAGCACTACGCAGACTGTGATCAAAGAAGTGCTTCCATTACTTGGAAGACAGGTAAACAAAAGATCATAAATGTGTCCATATACCACCTGAGTGACCTTGAAGTGGGGTGCGTATGTTTTTCTCTTTAGAAAAATTATAACCAGTCCATTCGCAGTTAATGTTGTTAATTGTTTGGTAGATGATCTCTTGTGACTGGTGCGATGCTCAAAACTTTCTGCAGTCTTGGTGGTAGACCTGATTGCTCTGTACTGGAAGTTACCATCAGCCTTTCTGGGTCAAGCAGGTTTACTTGTATGAACACAGTGATTCTTAGTGTGCAGTATATTTTTTCTGGTTGTTTATGTCTTGAGATATTTAAAATACACTTGTATGTAACTACACTACTTATCTTAACCTTGTTGGGAAACTGGCAGTCACTGTTAGGATGATCGTGCTTGTCTTCTTTGCACTGCTCTGCAAAGCTAATCATAGAATCATAGAATATCTCAAGTTGGAAGGGACCCATGAGGATCATCGAGTCCAACTCCCTGCTCCTCGCAGGACTACCTAAAACTAAATCATAAGACTAAGATCGTCATCCAGATGTTCCTTGAACTCTGCCCCGCTGAGCAGGTTCCTGTGATGATGACCACCTCCGTGTCGAACCTTTTCCTAATGTCCAACCTGAACTCCTGAACTCGCAGCTTCATTCCATTTCCTCTTGTCCTATTGCTGGCCACCAGGAAGAGGAGATCAGCATCTCCCCCTCCGCTGCCCTCCTTGAGGAAGCTGTAGATTGTGACAAGGTCAGAAGATGCAGACCTTCCCAGTTACTCGAACAGAAATGGACCGTAAACAACTCCCACTACCAAAGGCAACTGCTCTTTTGTCTGGAAGCCATTGACCTCACCTGTGGTTGTATGTTTCCTTAGAATAAATCATTTTCCCCTAACCAAACAGGACAAGTAAGCGGTGGCCAGACCCAGAACTTACTATGCAAGTGTATTCATATCACGTCAACTTAAAGGCTTAATTTACAGGGAAGCAAATCATCTTCCTCCAACACAGTAGCCTGACAGTATCAACATTTTCTTAAAAGGCTACAGATTTTCTTTCTCTTTTCCAGTCTTTATGATGTTTTTTCCCTCTTCCAGATCTGTTTATTGACATGCATTTCTTTTAAAATATGCAACATTAGCACACTTCTCCTAATCAGTTATACATATTCATCTTTGTTTACAGAAACTGGAGAACAGGCCTAAGACTGAATTCTCTGGTAGCCCTTGGACAGGCTAAGGTAAATGCAGTGCTTTGCTTATTTGGTCTGAAAAAGGGAGAATTCCTACCTTTCCTTGCCTTTGAAATGCTCACAATAGTAAAATACTCCAAATCCTGCCTAGCTGAAAAACCTTCATTAAGTCTTTATAAGACTGTAATAATTAGGTAAGATTTCATAATATATTAAATGTTATCCACCCATAAATTTAACATGCACTCGTGTAGAACCTTGATTCTAGAGGAATACTGTGAGAGACAGTATCAGAAGCTTTGCTAAAATCCAAAACCACCACATCTACTGGCTCCCCTTAGTCAACTAGATGGGTGACCCATAAAAGGAAGTTAACTCGGTTAAGCAGGACTTTACCTACATAAACCTGTGCTGGCTATGACCAATGACTGCGTTGTCTCTCAGGTGTTTTTCAGTAACTCCCAGAATAACCTTCTCCATAATTTTACCAGGCACTGAAGTGAGACTGACAGGCCTGTAATTACCAGGGTCTTCCTTCTTACCCTTCTTGAAAATTTGGACATTTGCCAGATTCCAGTGGACTGGGACATCTCCAGACTCCCAAAACCATTGAAAAATAATGGAGAGAGGTCCCGGGATGACATCAGTCAGCTCTTTCAGTACCTTGGGATGAATCCCATCAGGCCCCATAGATTTATGCACATCCAGCTGGAGCAGCAAGTCTTGAACAAATTCAGGATCGGCTGGGAGTTTATCTTCCCCCCAGTCATGGTTCTCCAACACAGGGCTCTGGGGGTCCCAGGGCCCATCGTCGGTGCTGAAGACAGAGGCGAAGAGGGTATTAAACATCTCCACTTTGTCTACGTCCCTATTTGTGAGGTGACCACACTCATCGAGGCGAAGAGGGTATTAAACATCTCCACTTTGTCTACGTCCCTATTTGTGAGGTGACCAACCTCATCAAGTAATGGACCAATGTTATCTCTGATCCTTCTTTTGCTGTTAACGTGTTTTAAAAAGCCCTTTTTGTTGTCCTTCACAGTGCTGGCCAGCTTGAACTCTAATTGAGCTTTGGCCACACAAATTTTCTCCCTACAGTGGTGAACAGCACCTCTGTAGTCCTCAAGGACTACAAGGAACGACTCAAGGCTGAATGGCGCCCATGTTCTTTACTATCTGCATTCCTTCCCATCTCGTTGGAAATTATTAGATACATCTTGTAACCTCGTAGATGCACATGCTTTCCTTAGAAGATGATCTTTTTTTCAGTCTGCCTGTCTTTCTTACAGTTGGTGCCAAGATAGCATGACTTTTAGGAAGCATGTTAGTAGAATTCGCACATGTGCCGAGGCCCTGGCAGTCTCCATCAGACACACAGGTGTGGAGGCATGAAGCTATAGCATGCACATTTCATTCAGCAGCTGGGGCTTGTGAGCACACCAGCAGATCAGCACGCTTCTGCTGCTCCAGGGAACAGCCATGCTCACAGAGGGCGACCACCACTTTTTGTGGTTATTTACAGGGTACACAGGAACATGCGTGTGGCTAGCTATCTGCAGTAGATGATAATTGTACCTCTCTGTCTAGGTGTACACAGCTGTGTAGTGCATACAGCTTGTTTTGTGCCATAGGATGATTCTAGGATTTGATTTCAGTCCTTTTCCTCAAGTGCCGTGGACCTTTTAACAAAACCTGCAAAATCTTGTCTGAAGTCTTGTCTGAAGCAACTGTCAAACAGGATAGTTGGGTACTCTGGGAAAGATCTTCACATGTCCGTATTTGGGAAGCTAGTTTTATGTTGTAAGAGACTTAATTCCTTGGCTCAATTGCAATTTCTCTGATATTGATAGTTTTTTAAAGGGTTTTCTCATTTTTCTGTATGAAGTTGCACATACAGGAAATCTCTTTTTAATATCCAGAATTTGGCTGTGCTGAAGATCCTCTCCAAGTCACTTACATCAAATTTCAGGCAAAGCAAATGTGGGCAGTTCAGGCTTTTAACGCCCCTGTTCATGACGTGTAAAGCAAGATCATTCGTCCTCTGAGTCTCAAGGCCAAAAATTAACAGACTTACTCAATCCTGAGTGTCACATGTTTCCAGGGTTGTAATAATCCTAGGAAATGGTTCAACTCTTGGCTGTGCCAGCTTTTCTCACCAGCTGCGAGGGACGTGGGTGGTCCCTGGCAGTATAGTTTGGAGAAGTGACTGTGGCACATGTGAAGGGGGTTTCGTTCCGTCAGTGCCAGTGGGGTGCCCCAGGAGATGGGGACCGGTCAGCCTGGTTTTGCCAAGCCTGGTTCCTGGGCCATCTTCTCAAAGAGCAGGTTCCTTCCCAGTCCTGCACGCTTTCTCTGGAAGGACACTCTGGAAATATCCTAGTTGAGGTGCTTGTCACTGGAGGGGGGTAGAGTTAACCGTGCTTTACAGGTGCCCCTTCACCGTGCGAGGATGCCGACATAGTTAAGGGCACGGGAGCCTGACGCCATGCATGGGAGACTGTGTGTGTAAAATGAAGATTATTCCTGGCTCGGGAGGAGTGGATTAGGGGAAGAATGTTCTTGATTTTAAAATGTTCAATTTTCCATGCTCCGTGTGTGCAGTGTATAACATAACTTTAACATAAACATCTGGCAAAATTACATTTCATTCAGAAATTATATTTACATGTTGCATCTTTTGGCAGATGGAGTCCCTCCAGAATTTCAAATTGGTGGAAGTGCTTATGGGCAGTAAGCAAGGTAAGTGAAGGAGCATTGGCTGAAGGCACATCTGTAACTGATCTTCTAGCTTTTTTTTTTTTCCCTTTTAACACAGTCACAGTTAATGTTTTACAATAAATGACTTCACAAATGAAACTTCACCATCATATTGAAGTACTTAATCAGATGTTGTTTCTTTTTGGTCTTGTGTGTCCTGTGGCAATATGTTTCCCTTCTCTTTCTTCATCATCACATAAAGGTTTATTAGTGGTTTCTAGCGGGTATTGACACCTTGGCTAAGAGCCCTGTTTTGGGGAGCTGCCTTTAGCTGACATAATTTTCTTAACTGCAGTTTTTTAGTAAAGATTAATTGTAAAGTTCAATTGACTCCCTTCCTTCTCTCCTCTTTCCTCCTGACACTGCCCCCAAACAAGAGCAAATTTGAGTCCCGAGATAGTCCAAGGAGTATGTGTGTGTGTTATGAAGTACAGAAATACGTAGTCCTAGCATTGCTCAAGAGGTTTGTGATCCTGCAGGAGCTGAGCTGGTGTTCTCCAAGTTCACATCCCTTTGTGCTTCGTTATTTGTAAGGCTGCATGGAGAGATAAATAAAGCCACTGAAGTAGTCTGATGATGCTCTGGCCGCACCCGAGTAAATGTCTTTGTAGATCAAATACTAGCCTGATACTTTGCTTTCTTTGTGAGCATTATCAGTAAGTTGTTTTATAAGGTTATTGTAGCCTTGTGAATGTCTTACCGTGGTTGATTTCTGGTGCTCTGTTTTAAAGCGTCATTTACAACCTTGCTTTAGCTAGAAGTTGTTTTAATATTTTAATAAAATAAAGAAGTTCGTTATTACTGTAGTTGTCAGGGAACGTAGTTTTAAAGTCTTCTATCAAATAGTTGTCTTGTTACCAAAGTACTGCTTGTCTTTTGAGTGGCTTCAAGCTATTTCTGCCTTTTTTTAAAAGGAGGGTTTTAAGAACTGTGAACAAAATCAGACTGTTCAAAGCACCTACATGGTTTTTCTGTTGAATAATGAGTAGTCCAGGTCTGCATGGTCCTTTATGTTAATGTTAGTTGTACGCAGAGTTGTGAATTTTCCCTAAAATTTTTTGTATTGTTTTTGTCTAATTGAGCCTGATAATAACTTACAGTGCTTTCAAACATGATTAATGTTCTTGCTGTCTCTAGTTCAGCGCATGGTCTTGGAAAATCAGGAACCGATTCTTAACAGACTCAAGGACATAAGAAAGGTAAATCTGAAAAAGAAACATGATCCTTTTTTATAGCAAGTAGGGAGTCCCCTTTCTTACTGAAAAAGTAAGTAATCAGTTACCCCCCCCCCAGCTGCCTCATTTGTAGAGAAGCTAAGTGCTTGGACTGAAGTTTGTTTCTGTTCGTGATACTCTCTAGGCATAGAGGACTTGATTGCTAAGTTCAGAACTATTTGGGGTTTTGTTTCATGATATCCTTTTGCCAAATGTCACGTCATTTATTTTTCTTCATTTTGGTAGACTTCAATACGTCAGATGAATCAAACAAGATTTTACATTGTGGAAAATAGTAAATCCATTGTACGAGTAAATTTATTTGTTGGTGGCCTTCCACCTCAGCTTTCCCTCGAAGAATACACAAATATTCTCAAGGATGAATTAGCTATCAAAAGTAAGTAAACAGGTGCATTTTGAGATACAGTCACTTGTACAGAATAAAGTGTAGTAGCATCTATTGTTCCTTTTTTATTATTTGTTTTCTGACCTTATTTGAAAAATCAGTCTACCTTGTACTCTCACAGGGGGCTTTTTTATTCATTTTGACATGTTCGTGGTTGCATGAGAGATGTGACAGCTCATTATTCACAGAATTATTATTACATCACTTGAGCTATATGTGACCACACCATTTTTTTTAGGGAAAAAGCATCACTTTTTAGTAGTGAACCATACATACCTTACACCATTCAAATTATGGCAATGCGGTTTAATTCCCTGTGCATGAATGTTCCTCGCCTTTATTAACCTCTGACATTTTTTGCGTGGGCTGTCCTCCATGTTGTTCATGAGCTCTATGCCTGCTCACAAAGAAGCATGAGCAGTATGTGCACACACATATGGACAAGCACTTAGTGAAAAGAATTTTTCTTTTTCAAAAAAATGTAATTGATTTTTCATAATGCTCTTTCAACCAACATGTTCTATAAACAGTGTCAGGAATGCATCATGCTTTTTGTTTCAGGCAACGAAGCATTTTTCCCAATCTTTTATGTAACTTCAAGAGGAATTAAACTTTAAATGCCAGAAAGAATTCATAGTCACCTTTTATGAAAATCAGTTTAGCTTTTCTAACTTGCAAAGTAAACTTAGGAGAGGGAAAGTGTTAGCTGGAGGTTCTCCCTATATTTGTATAACTTTTAATATTTATTTATATTATATTTATGTAACTTTAAAAAATATTTTAAATATTTACTCTGAATGTACCCAACGTTTTATGTGTTTATATTTTTACCCTTTGCAGCAAATGTAGTATCTGTGAGTCATGTTTATCAAGCACAAGGTAAGCATTAAGATTTTCAGTCTTGCAAACAATGTCTGTTTTCAAAACTGCAGCCTAATACTAGAGGCTCTAAGCTTAGAGTTTGTTAGTCTTATTGCATAAGCAAAAAGCCCTTCAGATAAAATGTAACCCGTATTTATGAAAAGCAGTGGATTAATTAGTGTTACCATATTAAAAAAAATAAAAAAGTTGGCTTCATGCCTTGTGTACCAGAAAGTGGTAATATTTCATCATAAAAATGAGTTTTTAAGTTGCACTTCAACTGAATAGTCTAACACCACTGAACTGTTAAAAATCCTTCAAGTGCTCTCTCCTTATTTTGACTTCTAAAATACTAAAATTTGGTACTGCTTTTGAACTTGATGGGATTGTTTCACAGTCACTGTTTCCTAACACAGTGTTAAGTGGGGCTTCAGTTGCTGGAAGTCTGAGGAAAATCAGTACGCTCATCTCTGCATTCATCCTTTGAGCTGTTGCTTTGCTTTTGCTGTACAAATTTTATTTCAGCAAGGCTGGAGAAGCCGTGAGGCTTTTGAGAGCCAGAGTGTCAGTGGTTCTGTGCAGCTTTGGTGCAGTGGTCAGGTGGAGATCTGTGTTTGGTAAAACTTCAGAGTGTGGAATTTATCTTTTGTACATTGAGGTGTCCATATCCAAGATGTTTCACGTCCTTTGGTAGGCTCAACTTTCACATGATCGCTAAATGAATCTTTCTATAGCGTGGTTTTGAAGACTGATGCATGCTTCCTTTGTGTATTTGCTGTCTCCACATGGCTAGTTAATACTGACTTTCCATAAGGAAAACCATAAAGCTTTCAGATGTGCCTTCTCCTTTTCATATTTGTCAATGGAGAGTAGTTGTTTTTGTGATACTCTTCTCATGTCACAGCTTCATTTAACCAAGCTTACCTGGATGGGTTTTTTAGATGTTTCTGCTTGTATGTGATTTTTATTGTTCTTTGTGGTTTTCACTTTCTGAGTATTTTTATGTTTTTAGTTGCAGCCAGGTTGTGTTATCAGCTTACATCTCATATGCTGTCCGTTATGCACTTTGATCTCATCCTGACCTGTTTTCCTCCTCACTAAGTATCTCACTTTAAACTAACTTGTCAGTATTTTTTTTTCTTTTCTTTTTTCCCTTTTGTCTTCCCTTCTTCCCCAGCTTCCTCATACAGGACAGGACCTAAGCTGACATACAGATCTTAAATTGATTCTCAAACCAAGTCTTTGCTTGTAATAATTCTTACTGAGATATTGTCAGTGAATGGAACTACTGGATTTAGTAATGAGATACAAAATTAAACCTGATGACTTTGTCACTTTTACAGGATAAGAACAGCCTGTTAGTTACGGTAAAGGGTATGGAAATAGGGCGTACTTCTGAAGCCCAAAGGAGGTCTTTAAATATGCATCAGTTCTGTGCTGCAGTTCTTGTCTTCAAACTGCTTTGCTTTAACAGAAATCCTGGGGTGTGTTTGGGGGCATGAAGGAAGGCTTAAAAAACAAAACAGCCCAATTCGCTGATAACAAACAACCAGAAATGTTGCAGAGTAACTTACTGAATACTGTCCTGAGTAAACTGAGTAAACTTTTGCTGTGATATGATGATACCGATTTCCTAATAATAATAGAAAATATAAAAAAGAGTTCTGATGCCTCTTCACAGGTGCTGTTGTACTCAAAATTTCCTGCTTTTCTGAAGCTGAAAGAATATATATGCTAGTTAAAGATACAACTGTCAATGACAAGCCTCTGTATGCTGTGGTGATTCCTGAAGTTATGGTAAGAGATATATTTGAATTTAAAATATCTCTTTAAAAGAAAAACAACTACCTTAAGAATTTTTCTCCTGGAAGTAACTGAAAATACATTTTATTCAAAGGAGCCGTACAGTGAGTTTCTATAAGTAGTGTGATGAAAAAAAATACTTGAGAGCCTGTACTTCGTGTATATGATACACTTACTTCTGTGAGTTGTCCTGTTACTGTTGAGTTGTTAGGAATAACTATACAACTGTACAACCACATAACTGTGTAACTATAAAGGGGAGAAAAGCAATTTTTTTTTCCTCTTTATTTCTTTCAATGATCAAAAAGTCAGGTGGCGTTTTAGTTTTAGCTGGCATGTCTTAAAATGCTTACAACAACTTTGTTTTGGTGAGTAAATGTGTTTCCTCACTAACCATGAGGTAAAGTAGTACTGCTAATCTTCACATTTACAGCGCCTTCATTGCCCCCATTCTGTAGCAGAGGGAGTTTGACCTTGTTTAAATGCTGCATTGTGGATTTCAGAGGAAAATAGTCTTTTGAAAGACTTAGTGCAAGAGTCCTTTCACAAATTCAGGCTTGATTCTGATTTATCATTTTTTATGGTTACAAATCACTTCACTATGAATCAGTCAGTTTAGTAATAGGTTTCATGTTAACAAAGCAGATTCAGGATGAAAAGAGGGAAATAGTTCACTGAGCAAAGTGATTTTTGAGCAGGATGATGTAGGTTCTGTCCAAAGAGAGTGTAGCCATGGTTACTTTCTGCTGAGCTGTTGTGTATCTTGCAGTTACCATCTTTCTGGAGTTGCATTATGGCAAGTGAAGTGAGGGTCTTGGTCTGACTTCTTAGAACTTCATAGAAGATTGAAAACTTAAAAAAAATGCATAATTAGTGCGAACTATGAAACAGCTTTAGATGGGAGGGTCTCAAGTTCAACAGCCGTAGTTGCATACTCACATGCCTGCTTTTGCCGTTTAAAGACTCCTATGCTTGTCAAAGTTTTCTGAAGGCAAGATTATTTTTTTATATGAGCAGATACTAGTGGCAGTGCTTAGATGAAACTGGCAAGATTAAAAACTATCCCCCTCCAAAAAAAGTGAGAGCCTTGTTCTTATGCATGCATAGGCATTATGTTTTGTGAGATCCTTAAAAATCAAGGTCCCCCCTCGTCCAAACTAGGTTTCAGAGTTTCTGTTACCAGAAACAGAAGGCAGTGTGAAGATGAGACTGCTTTTGGATGGTTGTCTTGGGGGTTTTTTAGGCAAATGCAGTATCAGCTTAGATTTGGTGCACGGTGTGTGAAGTTGAACATACTCAACTCTGTTGATTATGTGTGTCTGGTTTTCTGACACTAGACATGTTTGAAGTGAACTTCTTGATGCCAGGAAAATACTGATAATACTATCTGTTACCTGACGTAAGATATTTTTTAGAAACTCCAGTTCAGGGGACTGCTGGGGATGAACTTCTAATATGTAAGGAGAGAGGGGCTGTACATGTGCACATACATTTTATTTCCATTTCAGCATGTATTGTTTATATTTGGTTTTCTCACTGAAATGAGCCAAGAGTTAATCTACATAATATTTTAAGTGTTGTTCATATGTGCGTTGGCCACGCAGCTTACACCATTCACTAATTACCCAGGGTAAACTAATGAGTGATTGTTGACGCTACTTTGGATAGCAATTGGACTGGATGACCTCCTGAAGTACTTTCCAACCTAGATCATCCTTTTATCCTATGATACTATTAGCCTTTGTTTATACTTTATGTATGTAACCATTTAAATACAGCACCAGGAAATCCTAATAGAGGAACTGAGCACAATATTAAATTTATGCTGTGTTTGACATTCCTCTTGTGGGTGAAATACAAGGAAATTGGGAATGAAGGGCTAATGTGTAGTCTCAGAAGGAGAATGGGTGATAAAACAAAAGCTGCAGTGTTTTGGTTAATGAATGCTTTTTCCAAATTGCAACTTAAGTAAAAAAACAAACAAAACAAAACAACCCTTCTTAAAAGTCGATAAAAGCACAGAAGTAAATTGGTGGTTAGCAGGTTGCTAGACCTTCGTTTTCCGGAGGTGAGATTCTCTTACTCTGTGTCTGATATACCTCCTAAGGAGGAGGCCCAGTTCTAGTCTGGTATGGTCAGGTCTGCCAGAAGAATTCATCCTCTTATTATCATTACTGAAAAGTTTGAATGCGGAATCAGTTTGCACTAACTGCTTGTTAGAATGTCAAGCAATTAGTGTGATCAGATGTGTTGATCTATTCTGCTGTTTCATGATCTCGGGCCTTTAAGAATTTAATCAAACACTTTTTCATTTCACAATATTCAAATAAATGAAAATACTCTCTTCACTGGAGTGTGAAAAAATACAGCCTCTTACAAAGCTGTTTAGCTGCTGTGTTTAAGGACCTGCAGGGGCAGTTTGGTATCACGCTTTGGTAGCATGCCAAGGTGAAGGACATTGCAGGGCTGAATCTTTGAATTGAAAGCTCATTTACCAGAACTCCTTTTGCAGTACTAGCAAACAAGGAAATCGGCAGAGAGTTGTGTGAGGCCAGTATCAGCATGAAGGTGACAAGTTTTTGTGGCTTTATCACTAATGCCACTTACCAGTGGAGTGCCCTCTGATGTACTGTATTTAGGTTCCTTAAGAGTAATAGAAAAAGATGTGAGAGTTTCCCAAATGGGTGAAGCTTTCCATTTCATTCATTCCACAAATTCCTCACATAAATGTGTCCAACTTAAAAGGATGATAGTTTAATGACGCTCTTGGCCAAAACCCCACGAAAAGTTACTTTCCACCCTTCTTCCACTGCTTCATTTCCCCAAAAAGTAAAGAAAAGGCTCGAGCTCCTGCTGTGTTGACCCAGCTGCTTCTTCAGTTGCATTGAGACACCTTGCACATCGTTCTCATCAGATGCAATGACTCCTTTCTGGCCAGGATGGAGGAAGTTTGTGCTTGGGGTGTTGTGAGCCCTTGCACATGGGAGATGCTGCAGACAGCCTGCTTGCAAATGTTGGATTTTACTTGTCACTTAGAGATATCTGCAGTTCCTGGAGACAGCCCACCACCCTGGAAGATGCGCCGTGGTTGTCGTGCTGGCAGACCTGTGGCTCAGAATGCCTTGTTCTGCTCTGTCGTGAGATGTGATTACGCGTACACTCAACAGAAAGGGACGCAACAGAAAGGGGATTAGTATGGATAATAAATATCTTGCCCCAGCCTGAAGCCGCATCGTGCTAATCCTGGCAAATGAAGCAATTCACAGTGACTGTCAAGAGTGTCTAAATCACACGGCCTCCTTCAGCTGTCTCTAAGAAACGAGGAATAAATTCCTTCCTGAAAGCCAGCCAACACAAAACCCCTCTGCAGATTTCACTCCCCAAGCAGAACACTGAAGCCAGGGCTAAAGGGGGAAGGGAGTCCTCAGGCTGTGAGTCACACATCCCCTTCTGCCCAGTAACAAACTCATTCGTACATCCCCACTGGGGCTTTATTAAGGGATTAAAAAAAATTCTGCAGCATAAGACTGCTACCCTTGCAGCCGTAGTCATAACAGAGCGTGTACTTTTCAGAAAGCAATGCAGCAGCTCTGCTGTACAAACTGTCATAGAGTTTTTAACCCCTACTGAAAAATAATTGTTTTCTTAGAAGCTGGCCTTTATCTAGGGATTTAGCAGTGTTTCTTACTCCTTTAAGTTTAACGAAGAATGATGATGGGAAGCAAGTTAACTGTAAGGTTAAGCACTTTCTAGAATACTTCTGTTCATTCTACATAGGTGCGTTTAGTCCTAAATAGGTATAGTTAGGGATTTGCATTAGAAAATACTAGAACAAAGATGGTTTTAAGTGGTAAAACTGATCAGTTTGCACTACATACAGATATTTTGTTAGCTCCAGGCATTCTCTGCAGCTGCTTTTGAGTCTTAGTAGCATTCAGGGTATTGGGGTTTTTTTTGTACAATATTGACACTTGTCAATTAGGAAATTTAGATGGCAGTTTTGTAGGAACTGTAAATACATATTTGCAAAAATATATATATTTACTTGGGTAAGATCTCTGATGACTTTCCAAAACACAGCTGTGCTTTTGAATGCCTTGGAGTTTACCACCTCTCAAAAATCATTGCGATTCCCTGAAGTTCCTTTTGAATTATTTTAGTTACTTGGTTTTAAACCCAGTGTGTTAGAACTTGCCTGTAAAAGCAAGTAATATAAAACACGTGTTCAACATGTCACTTCTAAATGTCCAAACCCAGTATTTTTAGAAACTGATTTCCTGAAGAAGAGAAGGTAATCAAATGTTCTTGTCCACATTTGTAAGGTATTTGTTTGACTTGAATGTTGGGCTGTTTTGTTTTCTCTCATTCTTTTTTGAAAAAGTTTTTGTTTACATTGAGCTGCAGAACTGAGTATTTTTTCTTTCTGTTTTCCCCTTACTCCCGTTTTTTTAAACCCCAGAAGTTTCTGGGCATTGGCCCAAGCCTGAGGTTTCAGATAGCCTGTATTGCTCAGAAAGTTGAAATGACTGGAGATGAAATTTAGGTAGTAAGAAAGCTTTGAAGAGGAAGAAATGGGAAGTGGTCAGGTGGGAAGGTAGGGCAGAGTAGGAGCTGGAACAAGGAGTGCAGGAAGGGCACGGTTTGCCCTGTTACCCCATGGGACGTGGCGTTTGCTTTCAGAGCTGCTCTGCCTTTCCTTGCTTGTGGGATTTTCAAAGGACCGTTCATAATGGGATATGGCAGGTGATGGTGCAGGAACTGATGGAGTAACAAGGGCTTTACTTCTGGAAAAGCCAGAACTCTGCTTACTATTTTTATTAATGCCTGTGATGGCCCGAGGGGAGGAAATCCACTTCTGTCATTGGGATGTGTGGACCCTTGAGCTGTTGACCTTACAACTCAAGAAGTCCTTCCTTTTTGTGACAGTGGCATGCATTGTTTTCCTTAGACTTCCTTTGCTGGCTACAAATATCCTTTCCATGTGCTTAACAGAAATAAATACATTACCCTTGTCACGTGTTGGGCACGCTTTGAGTAATTGCTTCCCCTTTTTCCAATAAAGGCTGAATACGGAGGCGAGAGGTGTTTGGACCTAGCAGTCATCACAGTATAGCGTGAAGGTGGCTCCTCTGGATAAGGCTGTGTGGACAGCCTTGCAGCAACCTAGGTGTTTTGCCACCAGTGAAACCTTTCCAGTAAAAGAAAATTTTGAGGCTCTTCTGCCTCTTCGTCAGCCAAAATCAAAATAGTCCTTGTTTGGCTGATATTTTTGGAGAAAACATACGTATTTTCAAACTGAACATCTCTGGTAGAATCTAAAGGATGAGGAAGGAAGGGGCGAGAGGAGAAGTGTATGCCTGCTCCACCAACCTTCCTACCTGCTTCGTGTTCCTCCTCCTGGTGCGTTTGCTGTTTGTGCCTGCAAGTCCCGCCGGATGGCGGAGGGCATTTCTCATGCAGGCAGTGACACAGAGAAGGATTTTTATGTGTTTGCGGGTATCTTGACACATCTGGCAGGGTGTGACTTGCAGAGGATTAGCACCCAGCTCTTTGAGGAAAGCAAAATTTGAGGGTATCTCTCAAATACTGGGAAGCCCCAGACAATTGTTTGGTTTTAAGTGTCCAGATCAGCTCACAAGTAGACGATGGTCTGGGGTATCTCAACATCAGACTCAAGTTTGCTTCCTCACAAAGTTACTAATGAATTTGTCCTAATTTCTCCATTCTTCGCCTTAGTTCACGCTCTCTGGTGGTCGCTCATGGACAGCAGCCAACAGGCTCTCTGGGCGCCATCTCCTCCCCTCTGGAGCTGTTGGTATCTCTCCGCATGTTTGCATGCTGCGGTCATGCTGCGGCCTCACTGCCCCCTGAATCATTCTTGTCTAAATTGACTTATATTTAGCACCGGTGTTCTGTTCCCTGTATCCATCCTGTCAGCTGCGTGACAAATTGCTGTTCCCTGAACGCTGTCCGATTTGTAAATACAAATTACCACGACTTGCTCGCTAAAATGCCCGATGGACTTTTCTGGAGTGTACCAGAACGTAGTACCAGCATACCAGTACAAGTGTGAGGATCATAAGATACTGGCACCAAATCCTCCTGATTAAAAATTTTAAATACACATTTTTAAAAGAAGCTTTCAGCCTCTTAATTCATGGGGAGGGGCATGCCAGTGTCTGCCCCAAACACCCTCGTTTTGAAATGTTTTGTCCTTGTAAATTAACATATATTCTAAGATGACCACAAAACTTAAGACAAATGTTTCAATTGTTTTAGGAAGAAGTTCTCTCCTTGCAAGGAAAGTGTTTGAATTGTACGTGACTCTGGAAGTTACCTTATCCCTCACGCTATTCTTTGGCACAGACTGTTTACTGAAAATGTGTAGGAAGGATTACTTACAGCGCCTTTCTTTTTAACGTTAGGCTCAACTGTGTAGTTGGAGTGGGTTAAGGAAACTTCAGTTTCCAGAAAAGCAAGATCACCAGCTAACCTGTCCATTGTCTGGACATTGAATCTTTTTATTTATCGAATCTGGATTTTTTTACTAAGCATCAAGGAGGCATCAGGAAATATTTCTGAGATGCAGTAGTAATTTTCCTGCCCAGTCATGGTTTTGGCTAATCATTTTTCTTGTCTTCTTTCAGGCTTCCAAGATACCACAGAACTGCTGCCCACTTCTTGTATTTGTGAATCCAAAAAGTGGTGGTCTAAAAGGTCGGGATCTGCTGTACAGTTTTAGAAAGCTGCTAAACCCACATCAGGTCTTCGAACTTACCAATGGTGGCCCACTGCCTGGGTATGTCATCATCCTTTTAAATTCTTTTTATTTTTTGAAAGGATGGATCAGATTCACTTGTTGTAAAGATCTAAATTGCTTCTGCTCTGTGCCTGAAGACGAGAGCAGTGGATCACTCATTCTGACTGGTTCTCACTGTGAAAACAGATGTAAACTGTGAGGTTCTCTAAAGAAAAGAGAATAGAGTAGTTCCTGATGTATATGCTTGTGTCAAGTCTAATAGAGTCCAGTCCTGGGAAAGTCACATGCACTTTACAATAACACATTATTAAATCATTATTAAAAAGATTCTATAATTGAATGGGCATGGAAAGAGAAATGTCACGTTGCCCGATGAGGGCTTGTTTTTGCTTTTATTTCCTCTGATGTTTCATGGGAACCAACAAGAAAGTATAATAAAATTTGCTATCTTGACTCTTGAAACTTGGCCACAATTGCAGAGTTAACAGGGCCTGCCTGATCACAGCTGCAACATTTCTAAATACAAGGAACAGAACATAACGTGCTTGTGGGGAGGCAGGAACCAATTACTTGATTTAATCAACACCACTTCGTTACCAGCTTCATAAAACTGAAAGTGATGGTTGTGGCCTACTCAGAGTAGCCTCATTCCTCCAGCACTGCTTTAACAAAGAACTGTCATAACAAGCTCTTCAGAACAAAAGCTTTTGCAGGAGAAACGCAGCTTATGCAGGAGGCAAGAAAAACAAGCTGCACAGACTAAGTCCTTTGTTAGAACTGCATAATTCTGTTGACTTCCTAATGCGGTTCAAGTTGCAACTTCAGTAACTCGCTCATTTTGTTTTGCCCATGGAATCCTTCTGTAGCTTTATGGCAAAATGCTTCTACTTGTTCATTGCTTCTTGTGCAATGGGAAATAAAAATTTCTTTGCAGGATATCTTGGTATGTAAGATGAAAAGCCACAAAAGGTAAGAGCGACGAGGAAAATAGTACTATGAAGAAAAAAATGTACTATGAGTCCTATGACTAAGTAAAAAAAAAAAAAAAACCAACCACTAATCAACATCTCCACTAGGATTTGGAGAGTTATAGATGTTCATATTGAAATGATGAATAGTTAGATCTCTGTGTCTTTGGTGAAAAAGGAGGTGATTAACAATTTAATTCTAGCTGTGAAGAATCTAAGAATGGCGTTTTCACTCTTTTTAAATGGGTTTATCTAAAAGTTCCTATTTTTTGGTTCACTTTGTTGAAGTTGATCCTGAAACTGATGGTAAAGGTGTGGGGGGAAATTCAATAATAATGTGTTATCATAAATAACATATTAGGAAGCTTGGCTTTTCCTGTACTACGTTGTAACATTTCTTTTCCCCCTTGCTTTGTTTCTCAATGGAGGTTTCACACGTTCTCTAAAGTCCCCTCCTTCCGAGTGCTGGTGTGCGGAGGGGACGGCACCGTCGGCTGGGTCCTTGGTGCACTGGAGGAGATCAGACACAAGCTGGTGTGCTCAGAGCCCTCAGTTGCCATCTTACCTTTAGGAACAGGTGAGAATCACAGCGAGCACCGTTCTCCTGAGGGCAGGAGTCCTCCAGAAGGTTTGTCTTTATTTATCCGTCTGACAAACAACTCAGTTTTGCAGTAGAGATGCCATGACTCCGTTCTGGCTGGTGTTGGAGAGCAAATGCAGTATCAGCTTTTCAAGGAAATGTCAGTCATGCTTTCTGAGGAAAAAAGAGCAGCAGGTGTGTAGGTATGGGCATGTCCGAGTGGGCAGGAGTTGGAGAGGGCGAAATATTCTCCCCCTGACAACCGCAGGTGCATCAGCCCTTGTTGTAAACCAGTGAACTCAGCTGCTCCCTGGCTCCATAATAGGTGGTTCTATCGCTTTTTGTGAAAACTTTTCAGATGGGACAGCGTATCTGTATGTGATACTAAGCACATGTGCAACCACAACAACGCTTAGATATTTTTTCTGCTTAACTTCTCAGTCCAATCTAACTACTTCCATGACTTGTTTGGAGCACCTTGATGCGATTTGATTTGTAGAACTGGGCTGGTGCACTTCTTGATGCTTTTAGCTTACTTACGAAATGCAGTCATATTTTGGGGTTCTTCCTTGTTGCCCAGGTAATGACTTAGGGAGGGTCTTGCGCTGGGGAGCTGGCTACAGTGGGGAGGACCCCTACTCAATTTTGGTGTCCGTGGATGAGGCGGACGACGTTCTTATGGATCGCTGGACTATCCTTTTGGATGCAGAAGAGCCAGCTGAAGGCGCAGAGAATGGCGTTGCAGAACCTGAGCCTCCCAAGGTGAGCTGAGCACCATTTGGGTTTGATTCTTAGGAACTGTTGTTCTAGCAAAAATCACAAAGAAGTTAGATAACTAAAGTAGTTTAATTTTCTGCTGCTCACCTGTCTTTGAGCTTGGGCCTTACTGAGCTATTCCTTAGTGAACACAGCATATGTCTGGCTCTAGTGCTTCAGTTTTGGTAGGACTGGTTGGCTGCAGAAGACACTCCGTAGCTGTTTGGCAAAAAGTATCTGATAGAGGATTAATGAAAAGATTCAAGTGACAATGGCATACCTGTTTGCTTCAGCTGGAAGGAAATATATTTCTCAAATAAGAAAAGCTTTTTGAAAGAATGCCAAACACTTTCCAGAACACTAGTGAAACTGGAGTGTTGACCAAAAAACACTGCCTCTGCCCCCTCCCCCCCCCACCCCCAAAAGTACTCTCATCTTTCTTTTAACAGTTTAAAAAATGACTATGAGTTGCTAGCATATACAGAAAGTAAATCCTTCTGTCATCTTACTGCCATTGCATGTCTGTATATGTGGCATCTGTTTTATTTTGGCGTCTGTTTTATTTTTTTGGATTGAAAGCCCCTGTCCCTTGGCTCATATTACTTGTTTCTGTTCAGGAAAATAAAAATGTTGGTTGTAGATGGTGACTTCAGAGCTTTGTGTGAATCCTGGTTCTGTGTATCTTCAGACAAAACAAAGAAATTGGACAAGAGGGTGGCAAAAAGAAAGTAGGAAATTGTAATAATGGTAGCAATTGTCTAAGATTTTAGACCAGTTGCTGGAAAATCCTAGGCATTATGTGTCAATTGGAGGATTTAAGTTGCTCAGGTTCCAGCTATTTTTCACTTGGTGAAGACAAGGGTTGATTTGCCGAGTGCCTAATCTGCTTTTTAAAGGTGAAGGGCGGGAGAGTCAAGGACTAGGATAGAAAGGCTATTGAGTGAACTGGCATGCAAAGGAAGAATTAATTGCAAAAATGGTTGAAATCTATAGAAACTTGAGATTGGCATATAAGGAGCTATTTAAAATGCAGCTGAGTAGGTGAAGTCAAGTTATTCGCTCATCTGGCATAAGCTGGTCAC